AATTAGAAAGAAGACACAATGGTCAGAGGAGGATCTGCAAGACCATACATAGGCCCCGAACCTATACTTGGGATAACAAAAACAAATATAGAATCCTCCATCGCAGAATGGATCCAAACAAAACAAAAGGAGAAGTGGATAAACTCTAGCGGCGCTAGACACAGTAAATTTATGATGAAACAACCCTCACCGAGACTGGCAAAAGCACTGCTGCAGCTGGAGAGGGCTAAACTCAGAGGAGTGATATGACTACTAACCGGTCACTGGCATGTGAAAAAACACCTACAAAACATGGGCATATACAACGAAGATCCCATCTGTAGATTATGTAATGAGAAGGAGGAAACAGGCACCCATATCATCTTCGAATGCGAAGGAACAGCTGAATGGAGATTCAACCTAACATACGAAAAAACATAGGGAATGAAATTGTACCATCGAAAGTCAATGACCTGATACTTCTAAGGAGAAGGAATGAGTCTATTGCTCTGAACGAAGGAACTAGGAAGGTACAATAAGCCAGAAGGCTGCAGTGCCTGGGCAGTACAAACCCTGCTTCCTAGTATCCATACCAATCGTTGCAGGAATGGTGAAATCATGTAATTTTCGGAAACCTCAGAATTTTCAAAATTGACTTTATTATTATTAGTGAAGTGTGTGATAATTGTTACATCGATTCACATAATTTACATTACATACATACATCAAGCAGAAATACATGATTTTTCCGGCCCTGGAAAATCTTAAAAGAGATTACACTGACAAAAAAATCCTCATAAGTTCTAATAACCAAGCAGCCATTGTAGCAATAGCATGTGAAAGAATAACATAAAAATTAGTCAGTGAATGCATCCAAAATATCCAAAACCTGGGGAAACACAACAATCTGATGATATCTTGGGTGCCAGGGCGCAGGGGAATTTTGGGTTACGAGAAAGCAGACAGACTGGCCAGAGGAGGATCTGCAAGACCATCTGCAAGACTCCGAACCTATTCTTGGGAGAACAAAAACAAATATAGAATCCTCCATCGCAGAATGGATCGAAACAAAACAAAAGGAGAAGTGGATAAACTCTAGCGGCGCTAGACACAGTAAATTTATGATGGAACAACCCTCACCGAGACTGGCAAAATCACGGCTGCAACTGGAGAGGGCTAAACTCAGAGGAGTGATATGACTACTAACTGGTCACTGGCATCTGAGAAAACATCTATACAACATGGGCATATACAACGATGATCCCATCTCCAGATTATGTAGTGAAGAGGAGGTAACAGCCACCCATATCATCTTCGACTGCGAAGCAACAGCTCAATGGAGATTCAACGTAACATACGAAAAAAACTTAGGGAATCAAATTGCAGCAGCGACAGTCGATGACCTGATACTTCTAAGGAGAAGTATTGAATCTATTGCACTGAACTAAGGAACTAGGAAGGTACAATAAGCCAAAAGGCTGCAGTGCCTGGGGAGCACAAACCCCGCTTCCTAATATCCTCCTAACCATCCCTAAACCGCAGCGCTAAAATCAACACTAAACTAATGTGCGGACCTTCACAATTCTGCGTCGCGTCGCGCCGCCCCACCGACCTTGTGTGCGCCCACCTTAAGAAGTAGTTTGCTACGCCGATGGGTTTCCTGTCGGTTCTGTCTTGCATGAGGGTTCCATGTTAGTGTTATTTGCAATGGTCCCAGGTAACGTACCATATCAGATGTTGGGATGGGATTGAAGGACAAGTGGATTTATGAAGGATGAAGGTGATACAAATGGATTCGGTTTCATTTATTTTTATCCTCTATTTGCTAAACCAAGTCTGGGGATATTTAGTTAGAGATGTACATTGCTAATAGTTAGGGAAGGATCACAATTAGATGACAGGTTGAAAGTGTCGGCAGCAAAATGGGGCATAATATTTTAGGCGGATACAGGATAGTCGGCAAGCACGATTTAAGGATTATTAAGTAATGTATGGTGTTTAATGACCGTTGATTAATGAGCGAGATGAGGTCTGGTGTGACGTAGGTTTTAGAAAAACATTTTCTTTATCGTGCCAAGATGTGTTTCTTGTGTGTCGTGTTGAGAGTGACTCTAAAATACTTTGAGCCCTGAAGATGATCTCAATAAAGATCGAAACGTTGGCACGATAAAGAAAATGTTTTTCTAAAACCTACATCACACCAGACCGCATCTCACGATCTCCAAATAATTATTAAGTAAGTGAAGGAAGCCCTACCTCAACAAAATCGTGGGTCATGCCAGATCAAATTTTTGAGCAACTCTGTTTAACCGCCAAAGAGGACGATATAGTATTATGGACGCGGTGCACATGATCGACACTGTAGTGGAATGATCGTATATCAAATTGACTATGAGGTACGATAGCAGTTTGTTATAAATCTTTTTAGTATAACTTTTCAGCTATATATTAGGTTTTAGATTTTTTTACAAGTGGCTTTACACTTTTTCCAACAAAAATTTTACTTCATAGATATAGTTGTGTATTAGAAATTCCTGGGTCGGTGCTGGGAATCGAACCCATGGCCGCACGGTTTACGAGCCGAGATTTGCCGTAACTACTCGGCTATCCCCCCTGGTCGGGGTGCATGGTACAATTTTAATAAAAGAGAATTTCCACGGTTATTTTTATATTAATTATCAGCCTAATAAAGTTGCGATCATCATTATCGTTGAATTAGAAATACGGTTTTACTTTTGACAAACTATTGTTATTTGTGATATTTTATTGCGTTATTTAGCTCTTTTTTTGATGTTTGAAAGCAAGACAAATTTGTAACACTAAGATAATTTTCTTTATGGGGAAAAAGTTCGTTTAGTTTGATTATAAAAGTATGTGTTTAGCTGTTAAACCCTGCAAATGTGGTTGCAGTTTCTACAGCAGTTATGTTTTTTTTTTAATATTGTTATTTGTTTATTTACAGAGATTTGGCTATGATTTCTGGATCAATACTTGGATGATCTGTTTGTTTTTAAGTGACAAATTTCAATCATAGCGTTTCAGTCCGTGGCCGCTCTTCAAACCGACAAAATAACGTTCCGATTCTCAGAAGATCGGGTATGATATGTGGATTTTTACAGCATATAGCAATATTATTCGCAATGGGTCATTCGAATCACACTCAATACCCAAGGAAGGAGAGTGGAAATTGTTTCAATAAACGACTATCAAAAACAGACACAGGGGTTTATTGATTAATGCGATACAAACTTAAAAATAACAATTTTCTTCTTATACAAAATCAAACGAGGTGGCAACTATCAATAAAAACGGCAAGTTTTCTCTATTTGTTTTAAAAAGAAAGTCTATTTCCGAGAAAAACAATTTGCATAATTGATATAATCTATGTACTAGACATACATTTAAAATGGTTTTAGTTTTAGTCTTTCCAGGGTCGGAAAAATAATGATAAAATATTCAAACTCATTAGCCATTCATTCAGTGATTAAGTTCAAACATAAAATTGTAGAGGCGGTGCAAACAATACTGCTTCTCGGGTATTGTTAATTAGACTGGCCACGGTCTCGTTATGGGGTATTATGTATTGATTTATGTTTCAATTAGTAGAGGACTCAATAGCCGCTGTTGGTGGGAGGAGGTTCGAAAGGGAGGTCTGGTGGGAATGATGTATTGGAGTAAGTTGATTAGGAGCCAGCGGTAGTTGGAGTGACAGCGGCCTGTCAAATGACAGACAGGCCTGGCTGTCAATACTCCTGCTATAATTATCACACTGTTGTCCTCCACACACAACGCAATTATTATAACACGAATGGAGACAGGTGAAATGTATCCATTTTTGACGAGATAAGTCCAGGCAGGTCCATCGGTGTGGATAATATCTGCCAAGAAATCCATAATCATTAAGCACGAGTCTCGTTTGTAATCCTATTTTAGCTATTGGTCTTTCAGGATAGCAGGAAGTTTTCTGTTTCCTCGTTTCAAGTAGCAATAGGGGTTTCTTAGGGTTCTATTCTTGGACCCATTCAGTTTAATATTTATATCAATGCTATCCTTATGGTAAACAAACGTTCCCTCGCACAGTACGCAGATGATATGGCCTTGCTTTTAACATCGCATTACATAAACCTATTCTAAAGGCGTTTCACGACCAATCTAGGGAGGAGCTTACAAGGGCTCACGCCCGCAAGAGCGCGATTATGAGCCTTCTCCGCAACGAAGATGTACTCTAAAGTTGGGCGCACACTAGGTCGGTGGCGCGGCGCGGAACCGACCCCCAAGAAGAATACATTGAAATGAATGTAACCTCCACACTAGGCCGGTAGGGCGGCGCGGCGCGGAGCTAGAGGAAGTTGCCACTTTGCCAGACTTCTGCAACCCGGCTCCGCGCCGCGCTACCGGCCTAATGTGCGCCGGGGGGGCGGAAATCGTTGAGTTCGGGTATATTCGGCTGCCCTCGGACGCCATATTTGTAAAGACGAAGCGAACGATTGTGTGAAATGTAAAATCTACTCTAAACCGCAGCGCTAGTCAGATGGAGGGCAAATTCGACCAACGCGGCCGAGAGCAGTTCCTAGTGTGCGGACCTCTTACACTGGGGCAATTATTAGCCTAATCCCCTTTTCCCGTATTGGCCAATCTCTCCTCTCTCTTTGAGGGAGATATCCCGAGGAACATAGGAAAGAGAGAGATCTTTGAAGTATTTGATGATGTGGAATGTAGTAAAATAGTCCTTTTTCAGTTTTTCATTGAACAAACCGTGGAAAGAAAAATAAAAGAGAGAGAGAGTGTGTGTGTGTGTGAGAGAGAGAGATTGTATATATCATGAGATGAACCAATGTTAAAGGTTACATTGGTGGGCCGATCTTGTTGTTTGTTGGGTATAAGCCTTATGGATTATGATTTTATAACCTGGACTGCTTGCTAAGAAATACTAGTATTATAGTATAAACGAACGCCCTATCAATCTCGGCCAGTGTGATCCTTAAAACTTCTTTTACCAAACGATAATATTTTTTACTTACTTTTTGGCAAAAGTCTGAGTGCATTCAGTGCAGCGATATCGGTCGTTAGAGTGGTTGGCCATGTGCCGTTCAAGGGATTCCTGCTTTGCGAACCTTCTCGAACAAGTTTCACATTCTAAGTCTCCGTGAAAGCCTAGCCTCATGTCGTGAACCCTGCTGACGTGTCTGACGAGAGTGTCTCTCCTCCTGAAACTAGTTTAACATTTTGTAGGGTTGGATAACAAATTTTTTTGCATGACCATATTCGCGTAACTCGAGATGCGCATGGGCTGGGTTACGTTACGCGTAGGGCCTACTCACACGGGCATAAGCAGATCTGGTCACCAGGTGCCTGACAACCAGGGGACTGGGTGACTGGACACCTTCATACGGTCACGACTCGAGTAGGCCGTATTGCCAAGTACTTGCGGTGTGAATAGAAAATTAATCAATTTTATATTGGCTGATGGCGAAGAATCTAGTGCGCTTCTATACAATGTCTAATGATTCTAATCTAAGTTGACATCATAATCCGATATTATGTTATATATTTACTAGTCCAGTATTACAATTGGATATTTTTTTAAAGGGTCTTTAACTGTCACCCCGAGGGATCATTTAATGTCGTTAATTAAAATACACTCATAAAAAAGCGGTATGGAACATTTCTGAACATTTGCTTACCTCAGATGGCAGACAGTACAGGTGAAAGGCCGCTCTGCCGTATGCGTCTTGGCGTGGTTCCTGAGGGAAAGTTTCTTGAAACTCCTCCCGCAGTAGATGCACGGGTACATGCCGTTTGAGGTCTCACCTTTGTGCAGTACAGCATGCACAATCAGCTCGGACTCAGTGTCGCAGGAGAAATCGCACTCGGAACACTTATGTTCCCTGAAAGGCTGTTTCCCGATAAAGTCGTACGTTTTACACGACTTAGATTTCACGTGCTGGGAAACCTCTTGTTTCAATAGAAATTCCTCTCCACACTTAAGACACCTGTATAGCAAAAAACTTATTACTTTTATGTTAATGGAGGGGTATGAATTGTAGTTTGATCACATCCGATTGTCCTTGACTATTTCTGTCTGTTATAGTTGGTCTTTCGTCATAAGCACGCTTAAATTAGACGAAAAATACGCAGAAATAATACGAACCATTGAAGATGGCGAAAAGCCGAAAACAACTGACATACACAAATCAACGCTAAAATGAAACAAGCTGAGTATTTTAGTAAAATCAATTAATTACTTGTGTTTTTGTTCTGGATGAACGTTCCAGAGATGCTTCTTGAGCGCTATTATCGATGGGAAGACATTCATGCAATATTCGCACGTCTTTGGCCTCGCCTCTCTTTTCCCGATGTGCTCTTTTGTCTTCCTGTGCGCCTGGGCGTCTTCCGCGGTTTCGAACGTGAGATTGCACAGCCGGCAGAAGCAGTACTTAGCAGAGTGCTTCATCCGTCTGTGCTTTTGGAAGGAAGTGAGCGAAAAGGCGGTGTAGACGCAGTCAGTACATTTCATCACCTCCTGATAAGAGTCCGACGCCGTCCCACTGTCCTGCACGTGATGCCACATTCTGCTGTGAATTCGGATCTACAAGGGAACACTTTCAGTGAAAATATTTGTTAATCATAAATTTCAAAATTTTATTTTACCAATTCCATTTACAATAAATAAATTGTTACAGCCTATAAAATTAATCACCCTTGCTTGCTAAACATGTCCGTTTAGATACCCCATATATTTCCATTCAACATTTTACACGGGGCTTTTGTCGCAATAGTAGTGATTGGAAATAGTTGTGATACTGTATGTTTCCAATGTTAATTCCAGCAAACGAATTAAGCTTAATGTATGGATTTGAGTTCAGTTACGCAAATAGAGTAAAAACATGTGAAACACATAGTTAAAACAGACCGAATTACACGAAACATTGGTTTATCATTTAGTTTCTAGGAAATGCGGAGTAAACCGTCAGGCAATTGAAGTAATCACCTGCGCATTGTATCTGAAACGTTTTCTGCATATTTCGCACCAGAGCGGGAGTCGTTTTTGGATGATTATCGGTACAGAGTGGTTGATGAGGGAGACGACTTCGCTGTGCGCTTCTCCAACCAGGTGACAGCCCATTTCCACCGTAGATTCCGTACCAAATTTACAAAATGCACACCAATAGCGGCCTGTAAACTGAATGAAAGATTAACACATAGCAAGAAAATAGGTTAAAGTTGTTAGTCATGCTACTGGTGTTATTGCAGATTCATTTGTTGTCCAATCTTTTCACTAAAGAAACGATAAGCATTATATTCTATGAATTTTTAACACTGTTAGCACAATAGGTTATAAATTTATTTAAAAAATAAAACCAAAAACCCTAATATTATAAAATAAAAAACGTCGAAAGAATTAGCTAATATTGAAAATTCTTAACAGCATCAAATGAATATATTATCTGGGTATAGTGTACATATTTTAACACTGAAAATTACAGACAAAATCTGACATATTATTTAAGTTTATTAATTTTTCTTCAAATTATTTTGGTTAAAAATGTGTTTAATGTATAATGAAAAATGTTTCGAATTATAAATATTAAGTAGGCAGCTTAAACATCAAGTGCAATAATAAATAGTAAGAGTTATATTACAAAATTAAACTATAACAACAACATGGTGAACGATGAAGGTAATCTAAATGTCAACAGAACGACATATGAACGGATTGCGGGATAAGTTGATTTTGTTGAAGGACGGACAAGATAGGTCAGATCGGGCTTACGTCGAGTAGAGCATACAACTTAAGAAAAGCTGAAGGCCAAGTTGTGTGGTGCCATACCCAATCGGTCGCCGCCAGGATAATAAGCGAACTCGCTGATTTCTAAAATTTAGAATAAAGAATAAGCTGTCTCCAGAGATGTGCGAATTAGAAGAGATTGACACTAAACGATCGGTTGGAGTGTGGCATGTCGAGAACCTGAAACCACACACGGATGTTTTGAAGAGAGATAAAAATGACTGATCCTTCCTAATGATTCCATGCTTCGACAAATACTTTCTTATACCTTTTATTGCTTCTAAGAAGATATTTATTACTGTTGGTTATAGTTATTATATAGAAACTGGAAAAAAAATCAGAGGTATACGATCTACGGGCGCGATAGGCGACGCCCAAAGAGAACGTTGTTGATCACAGCAAACACAGTGCAGCTTGAAGTGGATCAAGGTTGAAGAGTGATCTTACGGGTTCGCCGTTTTTGTATTTCTTTATTAGGCCTGATAATTCAAAACTCTAGTCCTTAGATGTACGTTTCCGTTTTATTATTACTGTAATTAAAAAAAAAGTAAATTTAGTTCTAAATAGAATAAGTGTTATTGTATTTGTTTATTTGCACCCTTAGATCGGACACCACTGAACACGCACAACTTCTTTTTTTTCTACTTCTGTCTTGTCCTCGCAGAGTGCACCTCTACGTGCGATGGCCCCTCGCCGACAGATCCTCCAATTTTTTTCCCAGTAGCTTCGAACCCATTTCCACATGGTCAGTTGCGACCGCGAAATGTTTCTTGCTTCTCTCTTCTCTCCTCGGCTGGATCCGACTGCCTTGTGGTATTACTCTGTACTCTCATCACGACCCACAATAATGACTACACGGAAAACAAACACTTTGAGCCCTGAAGATGACCTCAATAAAGATCGATCATCAACATAGGTTATGGGCAAAAGAAAAACCATACACAAAAATAGTATAAAACCTCACCCAAACCCTTCGAATGCGTAACGACGATAGGGAACACCGAGAGACAGTGACTCGAATATCTATTTTAGAAAGAGGCGGACAATGGGAGGAGTTGAACCTCACCACGGGAAAACCATAAGAACCATAGCCACACAATCAGGAAATATCCAAAAAAATACCCCGGAGATAAATACAAGTGGCACCTTTCGAAGCGTGGTCCCGCCAAGGCGTACTCAACGTGGAATGAGGATTCAGTTAGCTTGCCCAACTTTCCAGGGTAGTGGGACGCTCACGGCTTGCTGAAACAGTCAATGTTGATAGTTCAACTTGTCCTACCCGACAAAGAAAATGGCTTGCTTGGAGGCCTTTACTTAAGCTTGTGAGATCCATGGTGAGACAATCGAGGAAGGATTCGTTGCACCTGGCCTCAGGGAATGATAGTGGACTTATGAGTGCGTTGAACCTGGAGTCAGGCCTATGGTCGAGCCATTCGTCAATAGAACTTCGCCTTAGCACACAGCAGTGTGTGACACCAGAGGAAGGCCATCGACAGCCACACAAGCCCAAAGAAAATGCTGGATGTGTATTTAGTTCTGTTTTGTCTTATAGTTTATGCAATTAGAGGTAGTGTTCACGCATTAGAAAAAAGTAGATAGCAGAGATGTGAATGAGTATACTCTTCTGAAATATTATTAATTACAAAAATGTCAGTTGAAAAGAAGAGAAGCGGGAATAATGGTGGCATGTTAGGACAATAGAAAAACTAAAGACAAGTTTGGAGCGAACCGAATTTTTTTTGTATGGTATGTAATTCTAGCTATTTCCTTACCCTTCCTTGTTGGGAAATCTACAATAATATAGTTCCTTAATGCCACAGTAAATGAGTTATAGAAAAGCCATTCACAGATTGTATAAACTTTTTTCGTTTGATATTGCATTTTCATTTTTTATAATTAATTAATTGCCTGCATTATTTATAACCCCACCACCATATCAGCGGACCACTGAATCCTACTCACTTTATTGTCATTCTTCCTGTGCATTTCCGATGCCCAGTGGTTGAGGAATGTTTGTTGTGTGTTGCAGTAGAACTTGCACAAGGCGCACTGAAATGGTGATTGGCGCACGATTGAAGCGATGTTCTGCAGGACAAGTGCCGTTGACGCTTCTTTCGAACTCGGGTGTTTACAGTGGTAATGTGATACCAAATGCTTCCCCATAAGATGGGGCCATACCCTACACCTGCATACTTCGCATACAATATACCCTCCACGCCTTTTGACCTCCTTATCCTGAAAAACAACAAAACAATGTACAACTTACAGGTGTGATAAAAATAATAGGCTATAAAAGTTAAAAGTGTTAGGTTATGGTTCAGTGATTTCTCAGTGTTTCCTCGATTTATAAATATTATTGTTTGTTGTTTGTCGTACAACTTGTTTTCATTATTTTGACTTGACTGTACGAATTTTAAGGAAAAAAATCTTGTTTAAGTTTTTAAGGGACTCCGTACGGTCAGCTAATGCAAGATGTAGTAAATGGTATAAGACTGGAGACTTGGACCCACTGGTTGGTGATGGCGGTATTGTTCCTCGGCGGGTTGGCTTCATTGAGTATAGAATGATGTTGATAGGATTTTCTATACTCGCTGGTTGGCTTCCCTTCCGAGATATACTTAAAGCCGGGCACACACTTACCCGATGCAACGCTATGCGACGCTACCCGACGCCTTGCCACGTTTTGGTAGGGTGTGGACATCTGTGCGACGTCAAGCGCACGCCACGTACAGTCACCCAGCGATCACAATAATCACTATCACAATCGCAACGCCTCTTTTGTTCTTAATGCACTATTTTGAGCAAAACCTTGTAATAAATTGTTAGTTAAATTTTATGAGCACAACCATGTAATAAATTGTTTGTTAAACTTAATTGTTTTAAGTAAAGTTATTCCGGTGTTTTGATAAATTTTCTGCCTAACCATCGTAATTAAATAATTTTTATAAAAACTTATGCATTTTTGATCTCGTTTAGTTTGGTTTACATTAAAATAGGGATGTTGTAATTAATATAAAGACAAAATTGCATATATTTAGTTTGAAATAAACTACAAAAAAATATGAGTGTCCTGTTCTGAAGCTACTCGACAAAAATGGTGTAATTATATGAGCAAAACCATGAAATAAATTGTTAGTTAAATTTTATGAGCAAAACCAAGAAATACATTCTTAGTTAAATTTTATGAGCAAAACCATGAAATAAATTGTTAGTTAAATTTTATGAGAAAAACCGTGTTATAAATTGTCAGTTTTCGAGTCCAGTCAATTTTCTACCAAACCATTAACCATTAGTTTAAATAAAAACTAATGAATTTTTAATCTTGGATAATTTGGTTTATATTAAAATAAGTATGTTGTAATTAATATAACGACAATAATACATGTAGTTTGAAATAAAAGTATGAGTCCGATTCTTTTGTCTTCGACTGTATTCGGTGCTACCCGACGAAAATCTGGACAGTGTGGATCGCGTAGCGTAGAGTATCGTAGCGTAGCATAGCATCGGGCAGATGTGCACGGGTAATATAATCTTTTGGAAAAATGGACTTTGGATTTGCGCGGGTAGTATCGGGTAGCGTCGCATGGCGTTGCATCGGGTAAATGTCTTCCCGGCTAACGCGTGGCAGATGGCTATTGTTGAGATATAAACGTTGGTTAAAAAAATCGCTAGAAATTTCTCCATTTGTCTCACACTAAATACATATCGAGCTATTTTAATATATTAATATTTAAATTACAAGTGGGAACCGTGAGAGTACCAATTTCATTGAAACATTTTTGTGATACTAAGTAAAAAAATATATCACAGGTGTCCGAGTGATAAATTTGCAAAAAGTAAAAGGCGCTTTTAGTAAAGTACGTCAGTAAAATTTGTTTTTGAAAAAAAAATGAAGTCGGATTACTTTGAAGTACCCTGTCCTTAAATACGATAGTTTATAGCTAACAAAAAATATATATTTTGATTGACAGATTGATAAGACTGAGTTTAGATGCCTGGTGTTCCACCTTTCATAACACCTCTGAGTTTTATACAGTGTCCACCAGTGTAAAGTTTAATTCCTTTTGCTTCAAGATGAAAAGTTTCTGAAAGTTTGTGGCTGGATAATTGTTTGAGAAACTTTTTGTAGCGGTTTTTCCCTACTCCAAGAAGATATTGGATAATTATTTCATTGAGAATGGTAAGGCTGTATACATAAAAAGGAACATCGACGATGGATCGAAGGATTTTTGTGATTGGATACGCTGGAGGATATGTTTTGTTAAACCACAAGGTTCGATGTAGAAATGGGAATCAAAATAGAATACATGAGTCGTTTTTAGTTTTTTTTGACCTTTTGTTCAGCTTTTATCTTTCATCTTTTAAAAAGTCTGAAACGTCTGTTTAGCTACTAATGCCATATCTTTTGAATCGCCTGTGCCATTATAAAAATTTTTACCTACTAACCGATAATTGTATATTCCGTGAAATTGAAAATAAAAATACTAAATGAATAATTGGAAAAATAAGTAAGAAAACAACAAATATTGTCATTGATTGAGGTCACGTTTATGCCATTAAATAAAGGCTTCTAAACCCCTATAAAGTTTTCTGTGGATCAGTGTATTTTAAACAGATGAGTGTAGTGTTAAAGCAAATATCTACTAATATTGAGTGATAAGAATTTAGCAGTGCAAAGAAATATGTAAGAAGAGAGTTCGAATCGACTGATATTCTATAACATTGAATTAAAAAAAATTAAATTACAATTGTTTCTCGGCTACTGTGGGCCGGGTAAATGGGCGATTAGCAGGAACGCTTCATACGAGAATAACATTTTTTGACTTACAAGGGGACGACCAGCTTGGTGGACACGGATTTGTACCAAACTGTTTTTGGCATTCTACACTCCAAAATATCGAACACGTACACGTCTCTTCTTGTGAATGTTAGTTTCGCCAAAACATACCGTACGCTTGTTAGCATGTATTACCAAATTGTTGGCGACTTGACAAAAGGCTGATTTGTTAGACTTGTGATCATCGAATCATGTGTGACGAGTACGCTAATTTAATGCATGCTTAAATTAATTGGAATTTAGGCCCATGACATTCTTTTGATAAGTTAAAATACAACATACTTACGGACTTAACCCGCTTGTTGATCGCGCCAAGCGTACTTTCGACAGCTTTTTTCGTTCTTGTTATCTTTCTTTTACTCCTCGGTTGCTGAATCACAGAAGAGTTAGTCCGTTTGAAATGAAGCTCGCTTTTTATATGACGGTCGTAAATCAATTTTGAACTGAGTCTCCTGTTACACGGGCCGCACCAGTACAAATTTCCTTTTCGAAGCTGTCCCCAGGGCCGTTCGGACGGACCCCACTTTCCTCTCGTGTGGCTGGGCGGTGGACGTTCGTAAAATACGATTTCCTGCAATATAAATTAATTTAAATTTACAAAACGAAAATCGACTCCGAGGGCTTACCTCAGTTGCAAGATCAGATTTGTCGATCGTGGGTTTCCACTTTCCTCCTGTGTGTCCAGGAGGTGGCCAGAGTTGTTTTCTACACTCGTCGGGTCGCCATTTACCACCGGACGACGCTTCTTCTTCCGATTCTTCTTCTTCGGAGTCTTCCTCCTCGTCGAACCGTTTTCGTTTCCCACCATCCTTTGTTACCTTTACCTTGCTCCTCGTCAGTATGCCAGGCACCTTGATAGGGATCGCTTCCCCAGATTTGTAGCTGCTTTGGAGGTTCAATGAAGAAAAGAAGTCGTCTGCCTTCAAATCTGGCATTTCCTCGGACCCAGGAGACTTTTCTCTTGGGCGACCGCACTTGGATTTTCTGTGCTCCACGTAATTCTCTAGGCCCGTTATGGTCATATGGCACTTGAGACAGAAATGTGTGTCTTCTTCATCATCACTGTTATCCATCTTGTTAGCTGTATTGAGCACTGTTGAAACAATATCGTAATAATACATATATCAACGATTTTTTCTTCATACATTTGGAATTATATACAAAATGAATAGTATGTGAAAGCAATTTGCTACAAAAGTTTGCATGTCGTGAATGGCTTGCAAATAGGCCGTCTTGCAGTGCCATCATCGTTACAGAGTTACTGAGTTACTTTATAATATAATACCATCAATCATGCACTTCCTAGTTGATTTATATCAAAAATTTTCGTAGATGACGGTTTGCTCTCTCTGAACTTCAGATCAATCTTTAAGCCAGAAACACACTTACCCGATTCTACGCCATGCGACGCTACCCGACGCACATCCAAACTCCAATTTTCCATAAGGTTGCATTACCCCCGTGCACATCTACCCGATGCTATGCTACGCTACCCTACCCTACGCTCTGCGATCCCCACTGTCCAGATTTTCGTCGGGTCGCATCGAGTACAGTCGAAGACAAAAGAACCGGAACTCATATTTTTATTCAAACTACATGTATTATTGTCGTTATATTAATTACAACATACTTATTTTAATATAAACCAAATTAACTGTGATTAAAAATTAATTAGTTTTTATTTAAAAAATTAATTTTAATGGTTTGGTAGAAAATTAATCAAAACACCGGAATACGATTTTTTGATATAATGAATTTAACTAACAATTTATTGTACTCGCTTCGGCGGTACATATACTAAAATTGGAACAATTTATTACACGGTTTTGCTCATAAAATTTAATTAACAATTTATTTCATAGTTTTGCTCGTAAAATTACACCATTTTGTAATGTCGGGTAGCATCAGAACAGGACACTCATATTTTTTGTAGTTTATTTCAAACTAAGTACATGTAATTTTGTCGTTATATTAATTACAACATGTTATTTTAATGTAAACCAAATTAAACGAGATCAAAAATGCATAAGTTTTTATAAACATTGTTTAATTATGATGGTTAGGAGTAACTTTATTTAAAACAATTAAGTTTAACAAACAATTTATTAGATGGTTGTGCTCATAAAATTTAACTAACAATTTATTACAAGGTTTTGATCAAAATAGTGCATTAAGAACAAAAGATGCGTTGCGATTGTGATAGTGATTATTGTGATAAACGCTGTGGACTGTACGCGACGTGTACTTGCGTCGGATAGATGTGCACACCCCACCAAAACGTGGCAAGGCGTCGGGTAGCGTCGCATGGTATAGCATCGGGTAAGTGTGTTCCTGGCTTTAGGCTCGTAATTACATTGCAAAAATTATCGCTACTCACACCCGCTCAACCTCCTCTTTTTTGGAAATACTGCTATTCTAATTAATGGTTGAAAGGAAGTTGCAATAAATCACGAAGGTGTAAAGAAAGCGAGGTGAACAGAGACCTGAAGTCATAAACGAACAGTCGTCATTGTATAAACTAATATCATGGAGTGTATTAGTCAAAGAGAATGTACGTTGCATTAATCGGTTGAGGCTTTACATCTTTAGGAATGAAGTGATTTATCAATGGTTGTGAACGGCATCAGGAATGCCATAGTTACCATGTACGGAGGTCGTAATTAATTGGATCAGAGGTCTGAAAAGTGCAAATTCTCATTCTACACGGACAGGGCGCATTCCCTCTTTTCACAATTAATCCCGTCGGATGATCAATATTTTGTCGGGCCGTTCCTGGGACTTTTGAGGGGACAATGAGCCCGTCGGCCGCCTGGTACGCCAGGTATGCGTTCTGAAACTTCATGAAAACAGGTAAAAGATTGATTCATGCCCGACGATATGGCATTCTCTTCGTTTTAGGAGACAGGGGAATTCTCCGGTTGGCCGGTGGGTAATCATCGTGTATTGTGAATGAGTGTTCGAGCGTATGTGCGAGTGTATGTGTATGTATCAATGTGATAGCCGGATGATGAAGAGGGCCAATGAGCCGTTTCGGGATGATATACACTTTCCCAACACGCCAGACGTGGTATGTTCCTTTTCCAGCATATTCTATAGTAATGAACCAACAACAATTACTGACGATAACGGAGGTTTTCTTTAATTGGAATTACATTAAATAAAATCTTTTTGTACCAATGTCTCTAACCAACTGAAGTCACAAGAATTATAAGTATGATATTTACCATTTTGCTTAATTGCTAAAAATATTTAACAAAGTAATGTCCGTAAACACACTTCCACTACATTTCCTTCAGATATTTATTTATGTGTATACTGAACGCTGTATTTGCTCAGTAGATCATGTGATTTAATTACGAAACCGATTTCACTTAAGGAAAAAATGAAAAAAAAATATAAGGTATATAAATTGAAAGCCTCATTACAAATACATTCAAATATTGCACAAGTACATATTTCAGTATTTAGCGTTAATATCTAGAAATAACAAAAACAATAATAATTTTTAAATATTTTTTCTGTGTGGTTTTAAAATTGGACAAACTGTAATATAACAATAGGTGGCACAAATCTGGTCAGCAAGGTCTAAAATCTAAATTTGACCATTCTTTCAGTATTAATTTAAGTTCACCAATGTGTTTAGTGTAAATAATTAACATTATTATCTAGTATTAATCCATTTACGTTTTTATGGTCAATTGACCAAGTTATTTCTTTCAATTAATTATTCTTTCTACGTGAGGTCTTCGTTAAGATAAAAAAGTCAGTGTCACGAGCGGGATTCGAACCCACGACCCTCAGCTAAATACGCCGCTGCTCTACCACTTGAGCTATCGTGACTTCGATTCTCTCGGACCCCGACTCTCCATCTGAACGTACAACCGTTCAAATTTTCTCTCTTTTTGCCATTTTCAAATGTCGTGTAATCGGGATTGAATTCTCAGCGACTTATGAAGTGGCCACGGGTGAAGTGATACTTCTTTCACTTATTAAATATTAACCCATTTACGTTTTAGTGGTCAATTGACCAAGTTACTTCTTTCTGATTACATGACATTTGAAAAATGGCAAAAAAAAGGGAACATTCGAACGGTTGTAGGTTGAGATGGAGACTTGCTGTCCGAGAGGATTTTTTATTTTTTATATATATTCAATCAAAGTATTTCTACTCACTCAAAGTGTTTGTCTTCTGTGTAATTTGTGTAACAAACACTTTGAGTGAGTAGAAATAATTTGATTGAATATATATTTAAAAAATATATATTTTGCATTGTATAAATTCACTTTTCCACATCCAAAATGTAATTGATATATGTAAACAATGTTTGTAAATCCCAGGCCCTGAAGATGATCTCAATAAAGATTGAAACGTTGGCACGATAAAGAAAATGTTTTTCTGAAAGCTGCAATATACCAGATCGCATCTCACGATTTCTAAATAAAAATTCTCATAAAGGCTAAGCAGGTACCACCTAGGTCTATTGACTGCATACTATACCATAAACAAATNATCCAAAATGTAATTGATATATGTAAACAATGTTTGTAAATCCCAGGCCCTGAAGATGATCTCAATAAAGATCGAAACGTTGGCATGATAGAGAAAATATTTTTCTGAAACCTACATCACACCAAACCGCATCTCACGATTTCTAAATAAATATCGATTAACGGTCACTTATCACCACACATTATTATTATTATTAATTACTTTTGTAAATAGTGCCATGTCAATTTAAGTTGGAAGACATCTTTAATGAGGTATATATCTTTATTTTGCCATTTGGCTCCCACCTGTATAGCTATTGATACAGTATCAATCTATCTATCATTTGAGTACCAGAACAGAAATTTGTACCATAACGAATTAGTCTATATTGACTTGCTTTAATACCGCTCTAAATATTAGTCTCAGAAATGTAAGAGAGTAACATTTTTTAGCTTGTATGTTCAGCTCGGAGCGAGTTACAGGGAGGTCGCGAAAACAGGCGTTCTTGATCTATAAGATTCAATGTAACTCTCAGATATGGTAGCGAGATGATTCTAAGGTTTGTGTATAAAGTTTGTGGATATATATGAAGTTTGGAGCTTATCGGTTTCAAACTATATAAAAACAAACAGATGCGTACACGGTCAATGTTTTCATTTAATCTATTACGCTAAAGGCGACTCGCTGACAGACGTTTCACGTTAAACCAACGGCAGTGCATCCCGACTACCCACCCGCGCTCGATTTTTCGGATCTGCAATGCTCAATCACTTGCCGGCCGTGTTGTGAAATGATACACAATCGTTAAACAATTTCCTCAACATTGCCATTTTTTATTTTACAGCCTTTTCTATTTACCAGCCATCTGTCCGTTTTTCATTTTATCCGTCTTATTTCTGTCACAATAAATGACAATTCTTTGAATTCCTTCTCAAAGCTTATCAGTAAATCTCGCGCTAAGATTACGCCCAGGGAGTTGGGTTTTCTGTGGATGGATGTTTAACTGGGATTGGCCATTTGGCCTGCAGAGAGTCAGTAAACTCAGTATTCCCGATTATCATCTGTTTACTTATAACACGGCAAATCTGGTTTAGGAAATCGACTTTGTAAATCCCTTCATTCTCATCCAAAATCCAATATCTTGTAAAATTACTGTTACGTGTGATGTGGCTCTTTTATTTTCTTATTCTTTTCCTGTTTTTTTGACTCCAGCTCAAATGGCTGCAGTGACCTCACTAGTTCTGTGATTGTATCCAAACGTTGGGTTGCATTGCTCTCTCCATCAACTCCAACGGGGGCCAGAGAGTAAAGCCAGGAGCACACATACCCGATGCAACGCTATGCGACGCTACCCGACGAAAATCAAAAGCCCAATTTGCCATAAGATTGTATTACCCCCGTGCACATCTGCCCGATGCTATGCTACGCTACCTTACTCTACGCCCTGCGATCCCCACTGTACAGACTCAGGTAGCAACGAGTACAGTCGAAGACAAAAGAATCGGACACTCATACTTTCATTTCAAATTATATGTATTATTGTCATTTTAATTACAAAATTCTTATTTTAATATAAACCAAATTAAACGAGTTCAAAAATTCAT